AAAATGTTGAATATTTCTGGGCTTGTTCCCCCATCCAGATTTGCAGCTACATGGGATTACTGAGAAAAACACACCATCTCCTCAGCAAGAACAGACTTCAAAACTCTTTTGTTCATCAATCCAATAAGTGTACAATCTGACAGTAAAACCTACCGTGGCCGACAAGAACAAAATTTTACACCGCAACTTTTGGTGTTTTACACCACAACTTTTGGTGTTTTACACTGCAACTTTTGGTGTTTTACACTGCAACTTTGGGTGTTTTACACTGCAACTTTTGCTGTGTTTTACACTGCAACTTTTGCTGTGTTTTACACTGCAACTTTGGGTGTTTTACACTGCAACTTTTGCTGTGTTTTACACTGCAACTTTTGCTGTGTTTTACACTGCAACTTTTGCTGTGTGGAAAACTTACACCCCTCCCCTTTTATAATGGACGGTCCCCCTGTCAGGTCAAAGGTGACAACGATGGCATGCAAACTACGTCGACTGAGTTATCATTTTCGTGCATAAGTTTTTTAGAGGAAAAGCTTGGCTACGTTGTGACGTTAGTTTTTTTCTAAAGGTTTTTCTAGCTTTGGCCTATAGATCGGGATAAATTTAAAAATGTTTCGACCAGGTCCAGTGATTACAAATTATGTTGCTATCTAGTGAATGTTGGTAACGTTTGCACCGCTACGTGTTGATGTCGACGCATGGTATGATAGAAATGATGTCTGTCTGAAGGCGTAAATATGTAATTAGCTTAAACTATCGTGGCATGATGTCATAAACGCTTGCATGCGGCGATAGTCGTCTTCCACGTTTCCCCGCCTTTGAGTCACGTGACATTTTCTAGCTAGAGAATTCGGACTCGCAAGATCGCTAATAATTTGATGAGTAAATATTGGGCCTATGGGAGTCAAATGTGGCACCACTTGGTACTATGAAGCAATAAAGACTTATTTTCAATTATGAAGTGTTGACTCTTGACTCAGGTAAGTTATCGATCATTAGGGAACAATACGAGCGATCGCCATGACGTCACCGTAGGCAAAAAGTGGGTGCCAGTTGGCTGATTTGGCTACCAAGAATTTGCATATGTCTTCAAATAATTTGCATGCGTATAATGTAAACAAAAACAGCGATCGCTCGTATACAAATGTAGACACTGTGACTCTCAGGCCGCCGCCATCTTTGTCACCTTTGACCTGACAGGGGGACCGTCCATTATAAAAGGGGAGGGGTGTAAGTTTTCCACACAGCAAAAGTTGCAGTATAAAACACAGCAAAAGTTGCAGTGTAAAACACCAAAAGTTGCAGTGTAAAACACCAAAAGTTGCAGTGTTAAACACAGCAAAAGTTGCAGTGTAAAACACAGCAAAAGTTGCAGTGTAAAACACAGAAAAAGTTACAGTGTAAAACACCCAAAGTTGCAGTGTAAAACACCAAAAGTTGCGGTGTAAAACACCAAAAGTTGCGGTGTAAAATTTTGTACTTGTCGGCCACGGTAAAAACCCATTATTTTTGTATACATATGTACATGTTTAAATTCTGTCATAATGATTATAATTTGTAAATATCAATGCCATTCAAGCTACACTTGTACTTTGTGTCGACAATGTTGCTAAAGGATTGAATTGAAAAAGCAGCTGTTCCCTGGTGGTGTATCTCCTTGTTGTCAGGGTTAGACGACCACCTGAGCCTCACTGACTGGCATGTTGATGTTCCCTGTGATGATCGGCATGCTCTTCCCTTTCCTCAGCACAAACACCTGCACAATAGGACAGTGGACAACTTTACATGACAAACTATAAAGGGAGAGAAAAAGAAAGACATTCTCTTCAACCATGGTATGTTAGTAGTATAGTAACTGTTGATTGAGGTATTGAACTCACCTTAATGGTGTCAGCGATGGCCTTGTCACTTATGCATTCCACCAGGGTCTGAAAGGCATAGTTCAGACCAGGAACCAACAGTGGAACCTGGGAAACACAGGAACAAGGTAAGACTGGGGACAAGATGGCTGTTGGTTACTCCAGACAAGATGGTCTTAACCATGTAAAATAGGATGGGACTGCTTAATGTGGCTTATGACTGGAGGTGATTGGCCTTAACAGGTGGTTGGCTAAGTGGCCTGCATGCCGATTTGAGTTTTCATGAAGTAAGAATGGTTAAAAAAACAACAACAAACAAACAAACAAACAAGCTCATAACCCTCTCACCTTGATGGATGACCTCTGCAGCTGGTATAACTTCTCGTCATACTGGAATGTGATGAGGAGGTTGATGGAGGGCGTGGCAGACGACGTGTTCTGTAGATTGACAGTCAGCTGAAAGGACGGACCTATCCCATTCACCTGGACATGCACAAAACCAGCATACAGACATTAGATATGTAACATTCCTTGTCACACTACTGCAAAATGATAGCATAAATGATTTTATATCATAGTCTTCATGTGACTGGATATGTGTGTTTTGTGAAAATGTTCTTGCCCAAAAAATTGCCCTCTTAGACCTATAGGTCTCCAGAGGATTTTGCTGCAAGATTAAGCCTGTGTGACCAAAAAAACAAAAAAAAACAAAGCTAGATGCACTCACAGTAGCTGACAGTTTGAGCGGCTCCAGTGGATCAGCTGACATGGGAGTCATACTGGTCTCCAGAGCCTTCACATAGGAACGGGCAGCGTCCAGTCTCAACCGGTACAAGTCACGCTGGAACATACGGTGCATGGCTGGAAAAACACAAAGGACGGAAATATTATTCATAATTACTATTGCTGCACTAGAACCTCAACATCCTCTCAAAATGATGATTCCTAAGTGAACATGTATCGGGTGGTTGTCTTTAATGTTTGTGTTGATGGGGAAATTTCGGGACCATGAAAAAATCCTACAAAAGGATGGAAATATTATTCACAATTCCTGCTGATGTGCAGAAACATAACCTCAACATCCTCTCAAAATGATGAAGTGAACATGTAACAGGTGGTTGTCCTTCATGCTTGTGTTGATGGGGAAATTTTGGGACCATGAACAGCCTACAGCATTTAGAAGGGATTCTGCCTCTAGGAATGCCTTAACTGGCAGTGATCTTGACAGTACTAGTATGTGTAAAACTACCATGATGTTCACTTACTGACAGCATTCTCCCTCTCCCTCATAGTCTGGTCCACAAACAACTTGGTCTTCTTCGGAATGTTCAGTTTCTGGTTCTGAGCAGCAGGAGGACCTGGTCGGGAATCTTTCTCCTCAAACACAGAATTCCGCTTCAAGATCTTTACAATCAAGCCACCACCTGGAACAAGAAGAGTGATGTTAAGTATGTAATTTGATGGTTTTCAGATTTTTGTTATAGAAAAAATACTTTCATTTTAAATTATAATAAACATAATAAATCATACAACGTCGACTACCACAATAGATGTACTGGCAAGTTGAGAATTATTAAAAGGTACAAAGTAAAACTACATTTTGTTACATAATACTTGTATGTGAATTGATATAGACATAACAGTCACATGCATGTCTTGAATACAATAATTTATGGAATGCAACATTTATTCCATGACATTCCAATCCCACACTCAGGTACCTTTAGTGGTCATCACCAGTGCTCCATCTTCCCTGCCAAACCGACCAAACTTCATCCCCGTCACAATATCCTGATGGACAGAAGGTGACAAAAGAATCAGATTAGAAAACAATTTAGAAAACAGATAAATTGGGCACAGCCACACAGCTAACATATATCGTATACAGAATAATATTTATCTACATTGTTCCTCAGTAGTACTAGTAGCCTAGTACTGATAAGTGACAATTCTCTAAACTTCCTTTATGACACTGATGTACCTCTGTTTTGATGGTGTTGACGAGGTACTTCTCGTTGTACACATGAACTTCACAGTTGTCCAGAGCGACCATGATGGCCTTGAAGCCCCGTGTCTTGTAGTCCATCAGCTCCATGGTCATGACATTGGCTGGGAGGGTCAGCACCCACAGACGTTTTCCCTGGACAGGGAAATATCATGTACATGTAACAGTTACTCAAGCAGCTCAAGAGATTTTTTAAATTGTAGCATGAGGGTCAAAATGACCATTTCCAAAACCTATCCAGTTGCTTAAGTTACTGTCACTGCCATATTTCATTACCTGGATGTCCAACTTTCATGATGAATATTATAATCATTATTTCAAAAGCTATTTGAACTTGCATTCCTTGTCAAATTTTATGCCATAGAATTACAACTAACACTAATACATGTACGAGTGAAACTCACTTTAGTGGTGTAACACTGGAGGGTCTGGTCCATACAGCCCACCACCACATTTTTGCCCATCCGTTGAAGCCCCACAGGCTGGGAGCTCAGCTCAATGCTGTACTTGGGTGCTTTTGATCCCCTAAATAAAACAAACAAAGCAATGAATTCCTCAACTCAATATACAGGACCCTTGAATGATCTCAAACAACACGATATCAGGATGCAATGAAGTTAGCAAAATTTGGTCAATGAGGAAACAAATACATTATATATACATGACACTTATAAATAACTATGGTCAGCCTGTGTGAGTGTGAACCTCTTCATCATTGTAAATGGGATGCAATGCCCTGCAATGACAATCAGTAAGAACTACTATGTACAGTCACATTTGCCCAAGAAGACCACTCAGGATACTGATAAAATTGGGTCTTTGTGGACAGGATTATTGATGTTTGTGTCAATTATCTAAGGGACCACCAAACAGTGAAGTGGTGGTACAGGTGTGACTGTATAATCATGATCACCTGCTACTACTAATTTTACATGTAGATGAGATACAATGAACAGGTAAAACAATCAGTAATGACTATAATCATGATGACCTACTTCTTGAGTGAGTAAATGTTTCCATTGCGACATGAAACAACAACTCGGAACTCCACATCGTACAATCCTGTCACATCCAGGAACACTGGAACACTGGGCAGCACCATCTGGAGAAACATTGAAAAATAGCACTAAGACATTGGACCCAATTGTAACAGCAAATTTCCTCCTGTGTTAGCTAGCCACTGGGCATTTTTTTTGTAAAAGGTCTGTGAATAAAGCTCTGGTTCTAACCTTAGTAAGAACAGTGAAGGCCTCTGGGTCCAGAATGTAGATATCTCTGCTCTCTGTACCAATGACCAGACAGCTGATGGCATCCTCTTCTGAGTGGCTCTTTTTCAGTGTTGTCATGCATGTGATCACAGTCTGACAGGGATGACAACATACCAGGAGTTAGGATGCTAGTGCTATAACATATCCTTATGTACTTATAGGCACCCATTGCAGTATCAGTGCCTTAATACTGGAAATATTCAGGATTAGACAATCTGACTACTGGCTAGATACATGTATGTTGATATAGTACAATGTACGTAGTCATGAATCTGACATTGAAAGATAAATAATGACATGAGCATGCTGCACCAAGATGACCCACCTGTCTCTTCAGAGGACTGTGTTTGTGTAGGTTGGCAAATGTCGGCATGTCTTCTGGGTCTAACATAAGGAACCTAAGAACAGAATATGTATCATTATGTATACATAAAAAATTATGCACATACACTGTATTCAATACAGGTGTATGCACTGTATGCAGTATCCAGGCAATATGCACAAATATCCTTGCCAAAACAGTTCCCAGAAGTCTGAAATCTCTGGTTTCTTGTTTTGCACATAAAACAGGGGAAATTACCTTGTCACAAAGAAATTCATTAAAAGCAAGTGTAGGTACAATGTATGAACAAAGAAAAAAATACAGCTATTTTAAAATTCTAAGTCTTTTTG